TGGTCTGCTGAGAGCCAGAAGGATGTTAACTCTTAACACAACGAATGCCCTTCTGGCTCTGAACAAACCCACACACCATGAGGTCATTTATTGGCCTTCTCAAAACCGTCATTCTGTAATAATATTTCTAACTTTGGTCTAATAACTCCTTTGTCAGTATAATCCATGGTCAAATTAATAAATGTTGTTATCAATTTTAACATAATAAATCAATACAAAGGACGGAAACTAGATAAAAATCACAATTTTATTATTCATTCGACCATTGATTGCACTGACAAAAGAGTTATTAGACCAAAGTTAGAAACATTATTACAGAATGACGGTTTTGAGAAGGCCAATAAATGACCTTATGGTGTGTGGGTTTATCATATATAGGCCTACTATCGTTTGTTCAGAGCCAGAAGATCATTCGTTGTGTTAAGAGTTAACATCCTTCTGGCTCTCAGCAGACCATGATTATAAATAAAAGTAATACAGAGAGTGCGAGCATACTGGAGGGAGAGCTAGAGAGAGAGAAAGAGAGAGAGAGAGAGAGTGAGAGAGCAGTGGCACAACACAGAAAACTACGAAAACTTGAATAAAAGCACTACTCAATACACAATAGGCCTATATTATTCTGTCAAACTGTCAAAGGAGAGTCTGTGCTTGCATACTACTATGCCACTCTATAAGTTGAGGTGCATTTCCAATACACGCACCAGTAGGGTCTGAATCATAAAACTACTCAGACTTGAATAACACTATTTTGTCAAACTGTCAGATTAGCGTCTGTGCTTGCAGACTACTATGCCACTCTGCAAGTTGAGATGCCTTTCCAATACACGCACCAGTAGGGTCTGAATCATAAAACTACACATATTTGAATATAAAGCACTACTCAAGACACTATGTTGTCAAACTGTCCGATTAGCGTCTGTGCTTGCAGACTACTATACCATGCTATTCAATTTGGGATGCATTTCTGTAAGCACTAAAATGTCTGAATCATACAACTACTCAGACTTGAATAAGCACATCGCGACACATACGCATATTGATTTGTCAAACTGGCAAATCAGAGTCTGTGTTTGAAGACTACTATGCCATCGTTTACTCGTAGAACGCGAATCGTGCACAGTAGATGCGAATACATGTACATTTCGTATGGGAAGTAGCAGAGAAATCACAAGTCCACGCGCATGCGCACATGGGGTATTTGCCCTCTCGAGTACGGAAAAAAAATTCGCGCGCAGGCCAGGGGAAGTGACAAAAGTAGGATCCGTAATCTGTTTAAACAGATTAGTTGAAGTAATGTAATCTGTTTAAACAGATTAGAAGAAATATCGTAATCTGTTATAACAGATTAGTGGAAATACCGTAATCTGTTTAAACAGATTAGAAGAAATATCGTAATCTGTTATAACAGATTAGTGGAAATACCGTAATCTGTTTAAACAGATTATAATCTGTTTAAACAGATTAGAAGAAATATCGTAATCTGTTATAACAGATTAGTAGATATACCGTAATCTGTTTAAACAGATTATAATCTGTTTAAACAGATTAGTTGAAGTACTGTAATCTGTTTAAACAGATTAGTAGAAATACCGTAATCTGTTTAAACAGATTAGTAGAAATACCGTAATCTGTTTAAACAGATTATAATCTGTTTAAACAGATTAGAAGAAATATCGTAATCTGTTTAAACAGATTAGTAGAAATACCGTAATCTGTTTAAACAGATTAGTAGAAATACCGTAATCTGTTTAAACAGATTATAATCTGTTTAAACAGATTAGAAGAAATATCGTAATCTGTTTAAACAGATTAGTAGAAAGTGTGTTTTTTTTTCTTCGTGGCACTAATGGTCTTTCGTACTGATCTGTATTTGTGGGAGAAAAGAATATAAAGGTTGAAATTCAAGAGAAACAACAATTTCATGCACGAATGTACATGTCATTGAGGGGATATACTGATTTATGTATCTGTCAAAAGTTTTTGCAATATTATATCAAGTCTTGCTAATTCTACAGGTGAAGATTACTATTTTGTAGTTGGTAGTTGTCTAACTGAAGGTATAATTTGAAATACTGTAAAATGATCTGTTAGTTATATAAGTGTGCTTAAGGATGAAGATTTCTTTCATTGGACTATTTCTATAATTTACCTTTTCAATACCTACGTCATCAAAGTGTTTACAGTATACGCCAAAAATATCCGCAACACGATTACACGGTAATTTTTTTGGATTACACGGTTTACACAATTCACCTAAATCGTGTAATCGTGTAATCGTGTAGATATACACGATTAAAGACTGTCGCTCTGAATCGTGTAATTCTGTAAATAGTTATAATGGTTATAAGGGCATTGGTAGGGTGATTCGACCGGCTCCAACAATCGTTTAATCGTTTCTTGCTTAAACCAAGTAATTGCTCTATACACCAGTTGCCTACATCAGGTAATTAATGTACTTTATATTCGTGTATAGGCCTAAACCTCATCACTTTCTACTAACCTGTATCGTATATTGATCCGTGAGACAAGTTAGGAAAACGTCAGAAAGAGGAAGACAGGATAGATGAAAAAGTACAGGAAAAAAGATAGCTACGAGGAGAAGGGAACAAATTACAAGGAAATATGGGTTGAAATGGCACGAGAAAGATGAGAAAACACTATGCAAGTGAGAGAAAAAGGAAAACACAAAAAAAAGTTGACCGGAAGAAAAGAAAGACGAAACATAGTGAAAGAAATAGAAATGAGAAGTAGGAAGGCTATGAAACAGAACGGAAAAGAGAAAGATAAATAAGGAACACAATGAAAGAAAGAGAGACGAGAAAGATAGGACAGTGGAAAGATATTGAGAGAAAGAGAGAGAGAGAGAGAGAGAGTGAGAGAGAGAGAGATAGTGAGAGAGAGAGAGAGAGAGAGAGAGAAAGGAGGGATGAAACAAACATTAGTTGAAAGAAAAGGGGCACCGATCATATTTTAATAGGGGCATTTAACGGAGTTGGTGGGGACATTTATCAAAAGTGAAGAGGGGCACTTCTCGTACCTACTTATAGATACTTAATTGAGATGAAAAAGGACACTTATGAGAATGGAAAATGGACACTTATTGCAAAGGAAAAAAGGAACTCGTTGAAGGAAAAGGGGCGCGTGTCAAAATAAAAGGGGCACTTATCAGAGTTTTAAAGGGGAAGGAGCACTTTTACAAATCACACATGTCTAGGGGTTATTAGTTCTGATTTGAATATTTTGCTTCTCAAAACATGCTACACTAAAATTTAAATGCATTACGTTGCTGATCAACACAGGGTTAGGTATTGAATGAACATGTATTTTCCCAGTGTACATACACATATGTTTATGATACTAAACTTGATGTATTAACAAGTGTAATATCTCAATGGCAGTTATGTTAATTTCCAGCTCCAAGTACTACTGATGTGCTTCTACAAATCTGCAATAAAATTATGATTTCAATAGCTATGTATATTTGCATTCTGGATGCATCTTAATGCAGCAGTACGCTTCTTTGATTATAACTGAGTCTTTCAAATGCAGTTTCTGAATGCGTGGAGAAAGATGTACTCTAAAGTTGAATGTATCAAGCAACAGTAAATTTCTGTTCATTTTTTTATGTTGCAGGTGAGGTTGTTCATATCACAGTGCTGACCATACGATACACCAATGTAGGTTCATCTAGTGGTCAGTATCTATGTTACCGCAGTGACCAAGATACAGACGCTACACTATTATTCGGTCGAACGGCACCCATAACAACAGACATATCACCACCACCAGATGTAGGACACTCATTGCCAAACGTCAGACGGGTCATATTCCCTGCAGGAGGTAAATGGGATAATGATGGTTTCGGTCCTTTCTACTGTGAGGCTTCTAAACCTGATCGAGATGTTACAAGGGTTACTACATTTTTCCAACGAAATGATGGTAAGATTATTATTCCACTCATTATGATAATAAGTATAGGATTTCCTTAATTTTGTAACATTTATTTTTCGATGTTTACTAAAAAAAAAAAAGCTTCCTGTAGTGAAGTAGTCAAAGTGAAGTTCCGAGCATATTCCATGTGAGGTCATTATGAAGTCAATTTAAGAAGAAAAAAGTATTGCTATTGATGATTTTGAAATTCATGAATTGTCTGTCAGATATACTGTCTCCTTAAAATCTGAACATATAAATATGACAAATTTGTATAAATTATTAACTGAATTATCAAAAGTAATTACAATTGCATTTCCTTTGCTTCATAGAATGTATAGTGTTATCTTTTATAGAATTAATATTTGTACATGTATATTTCATGTACATGTCCGTCATACATAAATAACCAAAATTATTCTCAGTTCAAATCCTGAATTGCCAATGAATGTAATCAATTAATATCCCAAACACCTGATATCAATGTTTTTTCTGACAGATCAGTATCGCGCTTTGTAAATAGGACGAAATAATTCAAATCAATCACAATTTCAACAGATCTATATATTATATTGTCATGTAGAATAGAGAATCAAACATCATATTTTGTTATGCGAGAAAAGTTGAAATGTCATTGTTGATTATAAGTTGTTATTTCTAAAAAAATCTTCGCAACGCGGCTTTGTTGTAATGATGTTTTTCTATCAATAAACCATTATCTCTTTCTAACAATATAGATTGAGCTTATATTGCATTTTGGAGATTCCTCAAATATTAGAGGAATCTCCTCAATACAAAGATATATCAAGGTTTAACAACAAATCATGAACACCGTCATATTATTACTCATGGAACATCACGGAGTAATCCTCATTGAAAATAATGCATTACTATAGGCCCATTTAAACATGTTTCCAAAACAACAATTTGAAGAATCATCAATTTGTGACTACTATTTACACTACTGGAAAAAAAACCTGTAACAAAACCCGTCAAAGTTTGATCATACCGATTTTGTTTGTGAGTAGTGCGCATGTGCCACTTGTCGGTGCTCTGCTGCATGTGTTAGCATGGAAGCGAGGAGAGTCTGTGAGCGATAATGGGTATCTTACCAAAGGTTGCATTTACACTGCAACAAATTTGTGAAATCTTGGCAGGCGTTAAAAAAACCACACTGCAGGGGAGTGTTTCACAGAGACTAAGATCGATTTAAGTTGGAATCGCACTATGGCAGGCTGTTCATGTCACTATTTCCTCGAACCATTCCTGGCATTGGTTTTTCAAGGAACGTACACATCGCGGTCACAAACCTACATAACTTACATTTTGTTACGGTTAATTATTAAAAGAAAAAATCTAAAGATCATTTCTGATGTTTTTTCCCTCTACTTTTACACTTTGGTTCAGGGCTTGTTTAGGGCAGAAATTGCATTTGCAGTAGTAAGTCCAAGTCTTGAATATAGACAATGTAAGAAACTCTTTTTCTTCAACAATGGACGATCACAAAACCTAAATTCTGTAGATTTGTGAAGTCCCTTGAGAGACCAATGGTGAGAGCGACCATTTTCATGAATGGCCTGCCGTAGTTCAATTCCAACTCTTCGTGAAACACTCCCCAAGAGAGGATTTTTTCGATTTCGATTTTTCTTCGTGTTTTGGGAGAAACACCGGAAAGTAAGAAAAATCAATACATTTTGGTTGCAGTGTAAAAAAAAGGTACTGTGGATTTTTTTTTTGAAAGAAGCGTTTATACCGCAAAACGGTTTACTGAGGATCAGGAGTGAGAGTGATTCATTGCTTACGATGCTTTTGAACATTTAATGCTTGATAATGGCTATTACAAAGATTTGATGCTTTTTACATATATACTGAGAATAAATCTGAAAATACCAGAGTACGATTCTTTTAAGAATAGCACAAAAGTTTCAAAAATTTATCATAAACAAAGGATGCACGGTAATGCGTTAAGTCTGAACATACCCATTTATGTTGATGTTGTTTACTAACATTAACATTGTCAAACAGAAGTCCAAACAGATTTTGATATACACCAGACTAGTTGCGGCCATGTTCTAATATTGAAAATGATCTAAACTTATTATTGAAAAATATCAACAGGAACAAATTTATTCCAATATGCAAGTAAATATTTTTCTATATATATTTCAATATACATGTACATGTATGCAAGGCCTATATAAATGTTTCGTTTCCTTCAGTGAGTAAATAGCTACAGTGCACATGCCATGTACATGTAGGTGCTATATACATGTATTCTTAATGTATTAAAGTTAACCTTTGTTATTTTGTTAATGTATTATTATCATCCCTTTTAACAGCTAAGTTCACATCGAGTGGTGGATTGTTTACAAAGACAGTCAATGTGAATGAGACCGGAGTGATGATCAGCATGACTGATCGTTATAGTCCTGATGTGAGTGACAATGTGATTACTTGGATGAAAGATGGAAGTGAGGTTCTTACATCATTTGGTGGGCAGACTCAGATCAACTTCCCAAACCCAATCCAGACAGCAGACCAAGGAATCTATGAGATCTACTATAAAAACGAGAGGGATCAAAATAGAGGAGGACTATACAGACTCATCGTCAGAGGTACATGTATAAGTCTTTTCCTGCCTTATTCAGACTAGGCTTTAATATTGAAATGGGTCATTTGTTCTCCAAGATAGTTTTGTTTGTTACGATGATGTTAAAAGTCTGGTAGACAGTGTCCAAGTCTGATCATTCGTGATGGCGCGCTATTGTAAGATGGACAGCTCTTACTCTTTTGCAAATTTTATTTCAAAAGATTTATGAGACTTCAAATGATAAAATTCAGATGTGAGGATATTATTATATGTAATGCGATTTGTACATACGGTTAGTTTAAAATACCCGGATGTAAATTCAGGATGTGAAAGAGCCTATGGCATTCACTATTCTACGCTCGAGAACATTGTTTTGTGACAAACGCTACGCTACTTTGTTATGATGTAATCTTTAGTGACAGGTATTTTACTTGATTATTTTTCTCTCTCCCCGATTTCTCATATTAGAATGCCCTGCTGGTAAGTGGGGTCCTCCTGAGTGTTATGGTATCTGTGATAATTGCTACAATGGTGGAGTCTGTGGTGACAAGTCTGGTCTATGTATCTGTCCTAACAACTTCAAGGGAACGAATTGTTTAGACAGTAAGTATAGGCCTTTGGAACTTCACGTAGAATGATGTTTATGTTTATCTGAAAATAGATGAATTGAGGAAGATATTTCTTGTCCTATTCCATTGAAAATGAACAGAGCTATGTACATCTATTTCACATGCACATTTCAAATATGTTGATTCCAGGAGAGCAATCATACTTGAAATGTATCTTAATAAATATTATTTCTTATGCAAGTCTAAAAGTTTAAATTTGACAATGGAACTGTTTTTTTTTCCTTCAGTTTGTAGAAACGATGGCGGAAATCGATTTGGATTGAACTGCGAGTTTAAATGTTCATTCAGGAATGGAGCAGACAGTTGTCATGGGTTTCTTTTTTGCCTACCTGATCCTTATGGATGTTCATGTGACGTCGGTGCCCATGGTCTTGCATGTACCACAAGTAAGTATTCCGATAGTCATTTAATTGTCCTCAAATTATATTAGTGAAAGTATATTCATGTAGGCCATTTATAGCACATACCATAGGGTGACTGGATTCATGGGTGAGGTCAGGGGCAACTCAGTGGACAAAAAAAGAGAAGCAGAAGAAGAAAATAAAAGTGGGGGAAAGAAAAAGAAAAAGAGGAGGAGAAGGAGGATGAGAAGATGAAGATTAATTAAAAAGAAGTTATTTAAACATGCACATTATCTCCTTTCTGCATCTGATGAATGTATTGTATCTGTCCATCTTGATTTTATATTTTGAATTCCTTTGCAGTATGTGATATTGGTTCATATGGTCCAGGATGTTCACAGACATGTCACTGTGCAGGCGGTTCATCATGTAATATCTACAGTGGAATATGTACAGGTGGATGTCAGACTGGCTGGTCTGGGGACAACTGCCAGAGTAAGTCACAGTCAGCAACGATAATAAATGATATGACATAAATGCTTTCCCCCAAATAAGATATAAATCAGAATTTTACATTTACACGCAGCTTTATCATTTTTGTCATTTTGTCATTTTGTTATTTTTTAACCTCGGGTGGTTACTGTATTATACCTGTGGTGTATAAGATAATTCAGTTGTATTTTGTATTTTGTATTTTTGTAGACAAACCCACTTTTAAGATGCGTTTTGGGGACAGCTCCTTCCATATATTCCACTTTCATTAGTATTCGAAGTAGAAGTAGTAGTAGAAGTAGAACACTGGACGACTTCATTGGACAACTTGTTTAGCACTTGTCTAATCTGCCACAAGGTCCATATCATGTTTGGAAATAGAGGAAACGATTTCTTTCTCCTAAAAAAACGAATATATCTAGTAAAAGCCCTGTTAAACGTTAAATTCAAGAATGGGTGATATAATTGCAATCAAAAGTGTAAATAAAAAATTAAATTTCTAGTTACAAGAAAACAATCAAGTTGTTACAACCTAATATTATTTGCACGTAGTAATTGCTAAAGTGTGATTTCTAAAATATTGTTGTTATCAATCCTAGTTCCAGATGAATGTGAAGCCGGTTACTATGGATCTCAATGCACTGATAAATGTCATTGCTTAAATGAGGAACCATGCGATAAAGATACTGGAGAGTGCTCTGAGCAGAAGTGTGCTCTAGGATACAAATTACGCAGTGGCCAGGTCACCTGTCAAGGTAAAATTTTATTTTTCAAAAGGGTGTTGAATTTCCAATATCAAATATTTCTAGTATACAAATATTGACTGCTTTGAGGAGCATGTTGAAACTGTTGCCCAAGGTAATCTTGAAACTGTACTCCGCCTCAACTCAAGAGTTTATTAGATATGACCTCCAAAATCAGCAGTCATTATTTGGTGTACGATACTTGTTTTCCTGCCATTATCGTACACAAACCAAGTTTTTAGCTTGGACCCTTGACCCAACAGTGCCCTTAACCCTAACCCTAAACCTTAAATAAAACCCAATTGCAACCCGAACCCTAACGAATACCTTTGATGAAATACAGCCCGGAACAACTGTCCCAGGAGCAAACGTCTGATCTCCATAGAATACCTACTAGTGCATTACATAGCAATACTCGGCTGTATTTTGTAGCAGAGAGAGAGAGAGATAGCTGTATCCTAGTTGTGACTATTAGTTATCAGGGCCTTTTAGATTGAGTGGACGAGAACACGACTGATCATGCGTGTGAACGTACTCAACTACCCAAGTTGACTACAATTAGAAATATTTTAGATTGCACTCGACGATATACATGCATGCAGCAATAACACTATGAACACGACGGACAAAGAAAGAGGACAAAATATACAGTTCCTCATTCTACCCTCAACAATTGCTGTGGTAGACAAAAGAACATCCCTTCACTGCTATTATGTAAAACTGTGTAGAAAAGGTGAATATGCATGTGACACCTGTTCTACACATTTTTACATAATAGCAGGGAAGGGATGTTCCTTTGTCTACCTGAGGAACTGTATATTTTATGCGCACGCGCCATATACTAGTACCGTACTAGATTTAGGAAAAGCAAGGTTGACGCATTCTCGATCGCCGACTGAGATGACGTGACGCATGCGCAGTGCCTTAAAATGACGTCACACGTTGCAGTCAAAGCTGTCGACGTGCAAATCTTAAAGTCCCTATTGTCTTAGAATGGAGAGTTGCAGCCAGCATAGTTGGTTGTCCACCTGAAAGTAGTAATCGAGAGAACAACAGATTTAGAGGTGGTCCCTGAACTGCTGGCTGCAACAGATTTCTAGTAGTAATGAACCTTCAATTCTAAAGTTAAACTAACCCACAGTGACACGAGTCAGAAGAAAATCTACTCGTTTCACCTGATTGAAATAATTAGATTTTTGTGTTTACAACCCTGTTTCCAGTAGACCCCGGCCAAAGTTATCTTTGCCTTTAGTAATCAGTGATAATCATTGACCAGATGTTTCCCATAAACATGACTTTTGTTTTATTTTTCCAGAGTGTGAAGGGGGTACCTTTGGTTTGGATTGTATTCAGCTATGTCATTGTGCTCCAGAGGCTTGCGAGACGGAGAGGGGTCTTTGCAAGGGACAATGCCTGGATAGCTGGATTGAACCATACTGTCAAAGTAATTATACCCAGCATATTGTGATCTGGTTTGTCTTCTTCTTCTGCTGAAAAACGTTCAGATTAAGAAAACACTTTGGAGTCCATATGAAACTATTTGTGCATGTATTTAATAACGTTTAGCTGTAATTCACAATCTTGCTTAATAGGCTTGTGGAGCAAGTACTTTTACCTTACTTTAATTTAAGCAAATTTACCTGAGCGCTCAATGAGTGTCAGTACTTGGCAGATACCGGCGCTATATAAATGACCATTATTTTTTTTTTTTTTTTTTTTGCTTTTTGTGTAGACACTTGAACATGTACACATAAGTTTACAAACTACGTTGTGTTGTTTCTTTTTATAAAGCCCATTCCATATTTTAAGGAAGTCTCTTTTACCTTACACACGTAGTCAATAGATCCACACAAAACTTCTTGAAATTATTATCGGTTATTGGGAGGTCTTTGTATTTAAATACAAACAGTAGTTCATAAATCATGTGTGATTTGCATACCAGGACTAATGCATTGATAAATATTACGCAATAGGATTTTAAACAAAATAATCAGATTGATATCTCCCCTTGTTTAGGTACACCTGTATGTACATGAACAAGTTTATTTGTGGTAGATTTTTATGATCTTGATTTAATAGTTAGTGATAGAAATACTAATCCAATGAAGTGACTAGGTTGCAATCTGCTATTGCTGTAGACATGCACATTTGTATTTAATGTTTTTTAATTTTGCTTGGTTTGTGACATGAATTTCAAAATCATAAGTAATTGGTCATTCTTTCTATTAAAGGTGAAATTCAAAGAAAATCACAAATATGTCAACTAATGTATCACTAGAAACTGGTAAGCTAACATAATGCCATCGTACAAGTTGTAGCTCAACTACATATCGGGTGATTTATGAAAATAAAAATACAACCACCTCCATAGCAGCTGGGATATACGAGAGATTCGCCGGAAAATTAACGATGTTTTAATGACGTCACTATATGGACCAAGACTGCCCAAGCAGACGACATCCCATAAAGAATGAACATAATTGCAATGCTATTATTTGTCAAATTATAATGAGTTTAGTGTATATAAATGTAATGGCATGTCGAACCATACAAAAGGGGATATGACCCGATTCTGATAATTAAAATCTTTTGCTTGTAAATACACAGGATAGGGGTTAATTAACAATCAAAGAAACCAGACTTTCCAATTGAAAACAACCCGGAATGATATTAAGGACGGCATTTGTTCCCTCTTAAACCGCCGAACATACCGCGGTGGGTGCAGCTGAATATACAATAGCGTCTTATTTTGTTTACAAGCGACACATTCATTTATTTTTGTATCGCTGCATTTGTCATCAAAATAAAACCATGCGCGGGGTTTAGAGTGAGGCAATATATTATACATTTAGCCTGACGGTAGTGAAGTAAGAGAAAGAACTCAAGAGAAGATGAAAACACAGGCACTGAAAATGTGTGAGATGTCATGGGAAATCCTCTGCTTGTGCAAATCATGTCCATACTGTGATCTCACACATCTAAGCAGCGTTCGGAGAGCTCTTCAGGTTATGCCGGGGCTGTATTTAAGCGTTTTGTAATTTATAATAATCATTACTTTGAATGTTTCCAAGCACTGAATTTTGATTACCTTGTCAAATCAAAGTTTCAGATTTGCAATAATGAAAATAAAGTTAGTTTTTAAAATCAATGAATATCTACTTTAAGATAAATAATCCCATTCATATTTTTTTAATATCATGATTGATTAATGTTCTAAAAAGTGCATGTATGATGAAATGCATAGAGCGAGCAGGTTTTGTGTTCAATATTGTGTTTATTATTTAATGTTTTTCTTTTCTTGGTTCTTAACAGGAATATCCAGATTGGTTCCAGTGAGAGTAAACCCATACCAACCATCTAGCTTCACATGTTATGTTGAGGGTATCCCACTACCCGATGCATCCTCAGTTGACCTTTATCGACGTACTGGAAGTACCTATAACAGGACAGGAATCACCAGGAGATCTAGCACTGTCTTAGGGTCAGAACGAGCTGTTGTCTTTGATGTTGATAGTGTGTATCCACATGAAGATGATGGGGGATATGAGTGCAGTCTTATTGTTGAAAGTATAGGCTATCCCAGTATGTCTATTACCAACCCAACCTATGGTGAGCAAACTGTGTGACATTGCTTTATCAATTGTAATTCTGTGAGATACCTGTTTGATAGAAAGTATGAATTTACTT